CACTGCGTCCTGAACAGCGGTGGTAGGCGTGGTTTCTACGCGAGACAGCATACGGCTCATGAATATTGATGATTTGGCGTGGCTCTGGGCTCAGTAAGTAGAAAGCAACGTCATACTGCCCTAATCTATATTCATTAGTTTGCAAAATTGCGTCATGAATAGCGGAATATTGGGGTTTTTGATAAAAGATTTAATTTTATAAATACATAACATAAAATAAAATAAACGATTTTGACATATTGTTATACATATTTTAGTCAAATCCCATAGATTTTAATGGTATTTAAAACATTTTTATTTATTGGAAAAAGCATGATTACTCAGTAAAATATACTTTACTTCTAACAAAAAACGAATTAATAAAACATAATAATAATACTAAAAGATAAGTTATTATTTATAAATGTTGAATTTAATTGTTTATTGTAAATGTAGTATATTATATATTATGAGAATAAAGATGCTTTAAAAATAATTTTATAATATTTACTAGATAAGTTGCCAGATTAATAAAGGGACTAAGCCTAAAAGAAAATGTTTGAATGAATGAATGAATGAATGAATTAAGATTAACTGAGAATAATCACATCCAAAATAAAAGTTTGTTTGATATGTGTGGGTGTATTATATATTTACGAGACAATATATATGAGAAGTTATATGTATATATATATATATATATATATATATATATATATATATATATATATATATATATATATATGAGAAAATGTTTATTTATATTTCACCATAAAATATGTATGTATATGATAAAAATTCTATATAAATATCCATGTAAAAAATTGTTTTGTTTCTGTGTATGTGTCACATACACATTACATATATATAAATATATAAATATATAAATATATATATATATATATATATATATATATATATATATATATATATATATATATATATATATATATATATATATATATGTATATATAAACACACACACACACACACACATACAGCGGGGAAAATAAGTATTTGACACATCAGCATTTTTATCAGTAAGGGGATTTCTAAGTGGGCTACTGACACAAAATTCCTACCAGATGTAGCCATCAAGCCAAATATTGAATTCATACAAAGAAATCAGAACATTTAAGTATACAAGTTGAGTCATAATAAATAAAGTGAAATGACACAGGGAATAAGTATTGAACACATGAAGATAACAAGGTGCAAAATGGCATAGAAAGTCAGGAGATCTGTCAGTATTGAGAGAAAAACCCTGCTCCCTATCAGTACTAATTGATATCAGCTGCTTTAGTCCTAATTGATGGCCTATAAAGGCTTCTCATTACTCAGGAGGCACACAGGAAAGACTTCATGATGGGTAAAAACAAAGAACTCTCTCAAGATCTGCGTAGTCTTATCGTTGAAAAGCATTTTGATGGGAATGGTTATAGGCGCATTTCCAGAATGCTGAATGTTCCTGTGAGCACTGTGGGGGCTATTATCCGGAAATGGAAAAAGCATAAGTTCACCATAAACCGGCCACGATCAGGTGCTCCACGTAAGATCCCTGTCCGAGGAGTCCAAAGAATAATCAGGAGAGTTCTCCAAGAGCCAAGAACCACTTGGGCAGAACTTCAGGAAGACCTCGCATCAGCGGGTACTATTGTTTCAAAGAAAACTATAAGCAATGCACTGAACCACCATGGCATCCATGCACGCTCACCACGCAAGACTCCATTGCTGAACAAAAAGCATGTTGAGGCCCGGTTAAAGTTTGCGAAACAGCATTTGGAGAAGCCTGTGGATTATTGGGAAACTATAGTATGGTCAGATGAAAGCAAAATTGAACTTTTTGGCAGTCATTCTACACATCATGTTTGGAGAAGAAATGGCACTGCCCACCACCCCAAGAACACTATACCAACAGTTAAGTTTGGGGGTGGAAGCATCATGGTTTGGGGCTGCTTTTCAGCAAGGGGTACTGGCAGACTTCATATTATTGAAGGTAGGATGAATGGAGAAATGTACCGGGACATTCTGGATAAAAATTGCTGCCATCTACCAGAAAGCTGAAAACGCGGCTGATAATACAAGGCAAGTTTGACTTCGACAAAAGCTTATTTCCCACACAAAACTGAAGTCCAAGCGCCGCCAAGGACGCTTTACCGGCTGCCATGATGATTCGAAATGCGGAAGCTTTATTTCACTGCGTCCTGAACAGCGGTGGTAGGCGTGGTTTCTACGCGAGACAGCATACGGCTCATGAATATTGATGATTTGGCGTGGCTCTGGGCTCAGTAAGTAGAAAGCAACGTCATACTGCCCTAATCTATATTCATTAGTTTGCAAAATTGCGTCATGAATAGCGGAATATTGGGGTTTTTGATAAAAGATTTAATTTTATAAATACATAACATAAAATAAAATAAACGATTTTGACATATTGTTATACATATTTTAGTCAAATCCCATAGATTTTAATGGTATTTAAAACATTTTTATTTATTGGAAAAAGCATGATTACTCAGTAAAATATACTTTACTTCTAACAAAAAACGAATTAATAAAACATAATAATAATACTAAAAGATAAGTTATTATTTATAAATGTTGAATTTAATTGTTTATTGTAAATGTAGTATATTATATATTATGAGAATAAAGATGCTTTAAAAATAATTTTATAATATTTACTAGATAAGTTGCCAGATTAATAAAGGGACTAAGCCTAAAAGAAAATGTTTGAATGAATGAATGAATGAATGAATTAAGATTAACTGAGAATAATCACATCCAAAATAAAAGTTTGTTTGATATGTGTGGGTGTATTATATATTTACGAGACAATATATATGAGAAGTTATATGTATATATATATATATATATATATATATATATATATATGAGAAAATGTTTATTTATATTTCACCATAAAATATGTATGTATATGATAAAAATTCTATATAAATATCCATGTAAAAAATTGTTTTGTTTCTGTGTATGTGTCACATACACATTACATATATATAAATATATAAATATATAAATATATATATATATATATATATATATATATATATATATATATATATATATATATATATATATATATATATATATATATATATATATATATATATATATGTATATATAAACACACACACACACACACACACACACATATACAGCGGGGAAAATAAGTATTTGACACATCAGCATTTTTATCAGTAAGGGGATTTCTAAGTGGGCTACTGACACAAAATTCCTACCAGATGTAGCCATCAAGCCAAATATTGAATTCATACAAAGAAATCAGAACATTTGGGGATGGTAGGATGAATGGAGAAATGTACCGGGACATTCTGGATAAAAATCTGCTGCCATCTACCAGAAAGCTGAAAATGAAAAGAGGGTGGACATTTCAGCAAGACAATGATCCCAAACACAAGGCCAAGGAAACAATGAAGTGGTTTCAAAGAAAGAAAATCAAGTTGCTTGAATGGCCCAGTCAATCACCTGACCTAAATCCCATAGAAAATCTATGGAGAGAACTGAAGATCAAAGTTTATAAAAGAGGCCCAAGGAACCTTCAAGATTTAAAGACCGTTTGTGTGGAAGAATGGGCCAGAATCACTCCTGAGCAATGCAGACGACTGGTCTCTCCATACAAGAGGCGTCTAGAAGCTGTGATCACCAACAAAGGCTTTTCTACAAAGTATTAAGTAAAGTGTGTTCAATACTTATTCCCTGTGTCATTTCACTTTATTTATTATGACTCAACTTGTATACTTAAATGTTCTGATTTCTTTGTATGAATTCAATATTTGGCTTGATGGCTACATCTGGTAGGAATTTTGTATCAGTAGCCCACTTAGAAATCCCCTTACTGATAAAAATGCTGATGTGTCAAATACTTATTTTCCCCGCTGTATATATATAATGTATATGTGACACGCACAATTTTTACATAGATATTTATATATCATTTTTATCATATACATACATATCTTATATTGAAATATAAATAAATTATTTCTCAAATATATGCATGTGTGCACATGTTAAATATACACAGTACACACACTTAAATAATATACACACTGGCCACTTTATTAGGGACACCTGTCCAGCTACTTGTTAATGCAAATTTCTATTTAGACAAACACATGGCTGCAACTCAATGCATTTAGGCATGTAGACATGATCAAGACGATCTGCTGCAGTTCAAACTGAGCATCAGAATGGGGAAGAAAGGTGATTTAAGTGACTTTTAACATGGCTGTTGGTGTTGGACGAGCTGGTCTGAGTATTTCAGAATCTACTGGGAATTTTACGCACAACCATCTTTAGGGTTTACAGAGGACCCAAACAAGAGGAAATATCTAGTGAGCGGCAGTTCTGTGGGCTCAAATGCCTTGTTGATGCCAGAGGTCAGAGGTGAACAGCAACAGTAACTCAAATAACCACTCGTTACAACCGAGGTCTACAGAAGAGCGTCTCTGAATGCACAAGTCATCCAACCTTGAGGCAGATGGGCTACAGCAGCAGAAGACTACACCGGGTGCCACTCCTTTCAGCCAAGAACAGGAAACTGAGGCTAAAACTTGCACAGGCTCACCAAAATTGGACAATAGAAGATTGGAAAAACATTGCCCTTTCTGATGAGTCTCGATTTCTGCTGTGACATTCGGATGGTAGGGTCAAAACTTTACGTCAACAACATGAAAGCATGAATCCAACCTGCCTTGTGGTGGTGTTATGGTGTGGGGGATATTTTCTTGGCACATTTTTGCCCATTAGTACTAATTGAGCATCATGTCAACGCCACAGCCTACCTGAATATCTTTATGACCACAGTGTACCCATCTTCTGAGAGCTACTTCCAGCAGGATAATGCACCATGTCAAAAGCGTGAATCATCTCAGACTGGTTTCTTGAACATGACAATGAGTTCACAGTACTCAAATGGCACCCACAGTCACCAGTTCTCAATCCAATAGGGCACCTTTGGTTGAACAGGAGATTCGCAT